CTCCCAAGAGCTAGGATTACAGGCGTGAGCCACAGCGCCCGGCCTTGCCCCTACTCTTGCCTGAGTCCCTATCACTGCTCCAGCCTCAACTGTGACAGCTGACCCTTTCTTCTTCCTACAACTCTTGAGGTACTAAGGAGATGTGTGTGGTTCTATGTATTGGAGGTTTGCAATAATGGAGGCTTGTGACCACCCAGAATGGTACCAGAACTTGCTTTTCATTTAAAATTCAATATTACAATCCCAAAACTGCATCAGCTTCTCCCCACACACAACAGGAAATTCTGGCCTATTGACCTGTGGTGGGCAACTCCTCCTTCTGCCTGCCTGGCATTCATTTTCTCTTCTTCCATAAGAACACTCTGACTTTCCTTGGGGAGCTACACTTCTTCCATGCTCACTCCATGTGGATTCTACTGGGGCTAGCTCCGCCCTTCCCTTCCCACATGACCTGGATTTAGCCAGTCTTTTCCATTGCTTTGGCTACAGTGATTGGTTCAGAGATAGTCACGTGACCCCAGGCAACTCAATGAAAATCAACCCTGGGATTTTTGCTGGGACAGCTTAGAAAAAAAGATATCCATGTTCTAGTCTCTGGAGTCTGTGAGTATATTAGGGCGCATGGCAAAGGGAAATTAAGGTTGCAGATAGAATTAAAGTTGTTAATCAGCTGACTTTGAGATGGGGAGATGATCCTGGATTATCCAGGTGGGCCCCATGTAATCACGGATCCTTAAAAGTGGAAAAGGGATCTAGGAGAGAGAGCCAGAGAGGTGGCAGCCTGAGGAGGACTTGGCCAGATGTTGGTGGCCTTGAAGACAGAGAAAGGGAGCCCTGAGCTAAGGAATGTGGGCAACCTCTAGAAACTAGAAAAAGCAAGTTAACAGATTCTCCGCCTAGAGTTTTTGATAGGAACACAGCCCTGTTGACACTTTAATTTTTACCGCAGTGAGACCCATTTCAGACTTCTGGTCTCTAGAACTGTTAAGATCATAAATGTTGTTTAAGCTGCTAAGTGTGTGATAATTTGTTACAACAGCAATTGAGAAACTAACACAGAAGGGTCTGTTCTACCTGCTGGGGTTGCTGAGCTGGCAGATGGGGAGCTGTCAGGGGAAGGGGAGCCTTCCTGGGGATAAAGCCATCAAAGAAGGAAACGATGTTGACATACAAATTTGGACGACATCGAGTGAACCCCTGGGTACAGCTGTGTCTAAAATAAATTCCTTCATGTATTTAATCTTGTTTCTGTCACTTGCTGCCACCACGGTCATGAATAATGCAAAGTGTATCCCCCCTAGGCAGGCACTGTCAGTGCTAGGCTCTCCCCGCCTTGCCCTCACCGCTTCAGTGCACAGGGCTGGCAGTCAAGCCGGCATGTGCACCTGGGGCTCACTCTGGTCGTGCTCTGCTGCCCTGTGGCAGGCCAAGAGCACAGAGGAACTAATGCCCCCTGGGAACAACCTTCAATCATGACTGCCACAAGCTGGTGTCTAAGTATCCCGCTCTCTTGTCCCTTGGGTCTGAAGCATAAATCCTCTACAGAGGCTTCTGTTCCCCAGCAGGACTGAGCTGCAGTTGCTCAGAGTGGAAACCATCTTGCCAAGCTGCCTTTCACTGACTGCCCTCCTGTCCCTACCTCATTCCTCTCCTGGGGTTTCTTGGGATCACAGTCCAAATAAACTACTTACACTTGAGTCTATCTCACTGTCTGCTTCTGGGGGATACCAAAATGAAGACTCCTCCCCTTAATCTCCAGCTTATCACTTTCCTCTTGTGCTCTCACTGCCTTCGGAGCCTAGCCAGGCTTCCAACTCCCAGATTACCTTGTTTTCTTATTCAGAGCCTCCTGGATCTCCAACCCTACCTCAAACTAACATTTGTTCTCCTAATGACATTAAGGCACCTGATGAACAAGACAGAGCTGTCTGCTCCCTTCCTTCACCCTTTGGCAATCCAAGAAAAACAAAAGGAGACAATATGATAATATTTGCTCTTATCATGAGCATATTCTTTAGCAAGAGCACCTTTCCTCGCCAGGGTGGCACAGTGATGTGAAAAAACAGACCAGCTTCTTGCCTTTATGGAGCTGATGGCTAGCAGGAGAGAGAGACACAAATCAGAGAGTCATACAAACAAACAAAAAGGGAATCTCTGTCATACTACTCCTAGCAGCAGGTCAAAAAAGAAAAAAAAAAAAAAAGAAGGAATCTTTGGCAGCATTAAAGAGGAGTTTACAGGGACACTGGAGCTTATAAAAGTTGGATTTTTCCCTCCTCTGAGAGGTTAGGAATGGCTACCCTAAGGAAGCAACAGAAGCTGAAAATGGAAGGGTATCTAGATGACTCTAGGTGACAAAGGGAGGGAAGAGCACTTCTGGCAGGGGAAACAGCATGTGCAAAGCCCTATGGCAAGAGGGAGCATGGCATGAGACAGAGAGGGTCAATGTGTTTGAAGAGCAGAAACAACGGGGAGTTCGGTGGCAGATGGGTCTAGAAGAAGATGCAGGGGCCCCGTGCAGGGCTGCTGAACTAAAGATTGGGTCTTTCTCCTAAGTTCGGTGGGAGCCACTGGAAGGTTTAAAACCGAGTTTCGTACCACAGAAGCCAGAACTAGTCTGACCACAGCAAGCCTGGGTCTTGTAAATATGTTTTCACAGTAGATTTCTAAAGCAGGGTTTCAGATGGATTTGGTAACCATAGAGATGGCTACGTGGACACTAACAATTATGATAATGAAGCCACAAACTTGGGAAACTGGGAGTTATAAATAGAATTGGTTCTGGGTGAGCTTTGAGTAGTCTGGGCGGATGAAAGGTGCTAGAAACCACATTATGCCCACATAAAGGGTCTGATGTTTGAAAAGGTGACCTGCCATGTGTATGAATGAAACCCAGGGACTTCAGAGTCCAGGGCGTTGGTGTCATAGCAACCCTCGGACCAAAGAGCTTTTCTTTAGTATTTCAAACGGGGCCTCAATGACCAGGGGGTGGAGGAAGGAAAAGAACATATGAAGAGTGTCTGTCATCCACCAGGCACCCTCATGATCAATAAGTATTTTCATTTCAATAGGGTAGAACTAATTATCCCCATTCTGAAGATGAAGAAGCTGAAACCCATAGAAACGATGTTGGTTACTGTGTCACAATGTGCCAGGCACTTGTGGCTCCTCCCCAGCAGCTATGCCCAGCTGCCCTCCTCCTTGCTCGTGGGACACGTCTCCATCTACATGGGCTGGAAATGCCAGACCCTCACTTTTCCAGCTTCCTCTGAAGCAAAGGCAAAGACACAGGGGCCAAGCGTGGTCAGTGCCCTGCAGGGGAAGTCTGACGGGGACAGAAAGACTTCCAGCAAAAGATTTTCTCCCAAGTAAAGAGAGGGGTTCAGGAGGTAGCTCCTCTCTTCCCTAGCCAGATGTTTCTGTGTCATCACATGATGTGTGGAAATTTGGTTGCCATTTTGGGATCATAAGGTGACAAGTGTTAAAACCAAAATAATATTCGGAGGCTGATGGAGCAGAAAGATGGAAAAAGCCTGGGTCTGATCATAAAGTGACAGAATGATACCTGAGCCCCCCTTACTTCTTGAAATTTTTTGAGATAATAAATGAATATGTTATTTATGCTAATTAAGATAATTAGTTGACTCATCTGTTACTTGCAGCTTGAAATATCAAAACTGTGGCAGAGTCTAATAACTGTCCTCCAATAACTTTCCTCTCCTACATCCTCTTAATAATAATCCCCCAAGGTTTTAGTGGAGTGTGTGGCTGGATGTGGTGGCACGCACCTGTAGTCCCAGGTACTCAGGAGGCTGAGGCAGGAGGATCGCTTGAGCCCAGGAGTTTGAGGTTGCTGTGCGCTATGATGGTGCCATGCACTCCAGCCTGGGTGACAGAGGAAGACCCTGTTTCAGAAAATAAATAAACAAACAAACAAACCGGTAATAGGAAATACAGCATTCACGAATAAAACAAAAACTGGAAACAACTGTTTAGCAACAAGAAACTGCTTGTGTGATTATGTAGGAGGATGTGGTAGCTCTACATGTACCGATTTGGAAAATTATCCAAGATAAATCGCTTAGGAGCAAAAAAGCCAATTGCAAAAGAATGCACAGTATGATTTCACTTATGTTGGGGGAAAAAACCCACAGCTATATGTGTGTGAGTGTACATACTGTATAAAAGAAAAATGTAGAAATAAAATTCATATAATGACAACATAGCATAGATGGGTGAAGGGACAGGAAGTCTGATTTTTGTGTGTATGCAGAAGTCTGTATTGTAAGAATTTGTTAAAGCCCGTATTACCTTTGTAATAAAACGGAAACAAAGAAAGGTAAATTACTCCCAATTCAGTTTAGGTTCTGTCTCTGGAAAATTTGCCTTGATTCTTCTCCGCTCCCCCTCTCCAAACCTCACCGCCCCGACCGCCCTGAGTGTCAATCTTCTTTTCCTTGAGAAGGGTCTAACTCACTGCCCCTGAATGCACTCGAAGAATGCTAGTTACCATTGTCCTAGCACCCAAGACCATGTCGGAAACGGGGTTCACCGTCCGCCCCGTCCGACTTTGACTAAGGAGGGCCCCTTTTAACGGGAATTTGGAGTAACGGGATGAGGAGTTGCAAAAAGAGACTACTGCGGGGCGCAGCTTTCCAGTATCTAGGGGCACTCCTGAGAAGAGCAAGAGCACCCGAAAGCATTTTTCTCAAGAGGACCTAAGTTTTCCAGGAACAGCCGAAGAACTGGGAGGTGGACCCTAAAGCCGGCGGCGAGCGTCACCGAGCGCTTCCGGAGAGAGCCGAGGCGTGGGGACGCGTCGCTTGCCGAGCGTCGCCGAGCACGTACGGAGACAGACGAAGATCTGGGAGGAGGGGCCACAAGAGCAGTTCCCAAGTGGCGCCGAAGCTTCGAAAAGAGCCGGAAGGTTGGGAGGCGGAACTACTCCCACAGGCCGGAAGCGCCCGGAAGTGCCCGGAAGTGGAGGCGATCAGGTGACGGAGGAAGCCCGAGAATTTCCGGAGCGAGCCGAAGCATCGCGACAGCTTCCGGAGCGCGCGGGCCGGCTCGGACGCCCAGTGCAGGGCGCGACCATGGCGGCTGCGGTCGCCGCTGCTCCCGGGGACTGCGAGGAGCCGGCGCCGGAGGCTGAGGCGCTGGCCGCGGCCCGGGAGCGGAGCGGCCGCTTCCTGAGCGGCCTGGAGCTGCTGAAGCAGGGCGCCGAGGCGCGCGTGTTCCGCGGCCGCTTCCAGGGCCGCGCGGCCGTGGTGAAGCACCGCTTCCCCAAGGGCTACCGGCACCCGGCGCTGGAGGCGCGGCTCAGCCGGCGGCGGACCGTGCAGGAGGCCCGGGCGCTGCTCCGCTGCCGCCGCGCAGGTGAGGCGCACCTGGATCCGCGCGGGGAGGGACCCCGAGTGTTTGGGGCTGGGCAGCGGCGGGTGAGGGGATTCTCCTTCTCTCCATGCTTCGATTTGCCTCAGTTTCTCTCTTTGTCCCTTCTGCCTGTCCTTCCCTATTTGTGCCGTTTCAGTTTTCGATCGTTATCCATTCACTCATTAGTTTTAAGAAACAGATGTAATTACAAGTACTTGCTCTGAAGCCAGGCTCCCTGGGTTCAAATACCAACTCTGCTGCTTCGTATGTAGCCTTTCAGCAAGTTATTTAACCTCTCAGCCTTAGTTTCCTCACCTGTGAAATGGAAGTCATAGTAGCAGTATCCATGTCCTAGGGATATTATGACCATTAGACGAAGTATGTATGCCATGGATTATGTTTAAATGTATGCCTGGCACAGAGTAATCATTAAATGTCAGATTTCATTAAATTGTTTATTTACTTTTTCATTAAAATACCACTGTGAACCCTCACCATAAACCTTGTCCTCAGATGAGAAACTGAGGCTCCGAGAGAAGTAACTTGCCCATGGTCACACTGTGCTAGTAAGTGGCCCAGCCAGGCCCTCAGCCTGCATCCTTTGAATCAGAAGCACTGGCTTTTTGCTTTTACACTTCTTGCCTTTCTTTCATTAGTATTTTTTTAAGTACCTGCTGTGCATCAGGACATTGTTACGTGCTGGGGAATCTGGGGGGGATATTCAGTAGTGAACAAGCAGACACATCTGCCCTTGGAAAGATTTAGTGAAGTTATTTGTGTGTTCATATTTTCTGTTTCACCGTTTCTATGATGTAAGTTCTATTAAGCAGGGGGTAGCTGCCTTGTTTATTGGCATATCCCCATTGATATGTCTCTTAGTTTCTAGAAAAGTATCCTGAGCATGGTTGACATTCAGTGAAGATTCATTGACCCAGTTTGGTGGAGGTGTTACTTTCATATTATAGTAGCAGAAACTGAGGCTTAGAGAAGTTAGCGTAACTTTAAGGTTACATAACCAATAAGAAAGGGAGCTAAGATTTGAACCCCGTTCTGTCTACAAAGATGAATTTCTAAGCCAACACACTGCTTGGCCTCCTGTTTGTGTCCTTGTCAGATAGAAACTGCTCTGACTGGGCCATGTTTCCCCTTCTGGCTCTTTGTTTTGTTTTGTGTTTTAGGGAGTAAGTGTGTCAAATTAAGTTCACTCATAATGGGTGGTTTAGGAAAGGAGGAGGAAGCTTTGGCACTCCTATACTTAGCTAGGCCAAGTGGGATATAACCAGCATTATTAAAATGAAATAGAATCATAGACTGGCTGTGCTACTCCCCCTCCTCCAAAAAGGCCAGGCCAGTGACAAAAAATTAGATGAAGTTCACTTAAGAGGGAAAAATAAGTCCACGGTTGGGGTGGTCTCAGGCCTCAGGCATATCCTGAAGGGCATGAGCAGAAGAAACTTCCCAGTGATAACTCAGTTGCACCGTTTTCTGCAGCCTTCCTAAATCTTCTTCCTGAAATAACTAGATACGGACTGAAAAACCGGCTCAATCCTTGAAAATTAAGCTTACCATTAAAGGCCAGGCATGGTGGCTCATGCCTGTAACCCAACACTCTGGGAGGCTGAGGTGGGAAGATTGCTTGAGGCCAGGAGTTGAGGACCAACCTGAGCAAGAGTGAGACCCTATCTCTACCAAAAATAGAAATCTTAGCCGGGCGTGGTGGCGCATGTCTGTAGTCCCAGGTACTTGGGAGGCTGAGGCAGGAGGATTGCTTGAGCCCAGGAATTTGAGGTTGCAGTGAGCTGTAATGATGCCACTGCACTCTAGCTAGGATGACAGAGTGAGACTCTGTCTCAATAAATAAATAAGCTTACCATTTAAAAGGAGTCCAATCCAATAACCACTCATGTCTTGATTGCAGGAATATCTGCCCCTGTTGTCTTTTTTGTGGACTATGCTTCCAACTGCTTATATATGGAAGAAATTGAAGGCTCAGTGTCTGTTCGAGATTATATTCAATCCACTATGGAGACTGAAAAATCTCCCCAAAATCTCTTTGGCTTAGCTAAGACAATCGGGCGGGTTTTGGCTCGAATGCATGATGAAGACCTCATTCACGGTGATCTCACAACTTCCAACATGCTCCTGAAACCCCCCATGGAACAGCAGAACATTGTGCTCATAGACTTTGGACTGAGTTTCATTTCAGCACTTCCAGAAGATAAGGGGGTAGACCTCTACGTCCTGGAGAAAGCTTTCCTCAGCACCCATCCCAACACTGAGACTGTGTTTGAAGCCTTTCTGAAGAGCTACTCTACCTCCTCCAAAAAGTCCAGGCCAGTGCTAAAAAAATTAGATGAAGTTCGCTTAAGAGGAAGAAAGAGGTCCATGGTTGGGTAGGAGAATGTGTGTGACAGTCACACACAGTTAAGTTCTTTTTTCAAAGTAAATTTGAAGAAATGCTACAAATACAAGATTAGACCTCAATAAAGGTGTTGATATTTTTAAGTAATGTCTGTGCTGGTGCTTGTAAAATGTCATTATCATTTCCAATTCATTGTCCTCAAGAGCTTACTATTAAATATGAACATAAGACATGTTCAAGGCAGAATTGAGTATTTAAAATAAATCTTGGACAGGCTTTCTCCCAAATTGTGACCTCATGTACATGGATGTAGCACTGAATCACATAATGAGAACACTCTCTTTTTAGTCCTGGAAAGACAAGGACAAAGTCTCAGTTGGTGATAATATATCTTTATTAGTCCTCTAACTCAATGTTTTTATTTTATGGTTACCTTCTAATGAAGGCAAGTGATTGTTATAAAGTTCCTTTAAACTTTATAGGTAAAAAATTAAATTGATTTCTATCACAAGCAGTAAGTAGATAGAGTAAAAATGGTGAAATGGCATGTGAATGACTGAAGATTGATAAAGTCTGGTTTAAGGTGCAGGAAAACTGAGTGTGCAAAGGACTAGTAGCTAGCTCTTAACCTGCTGAGCCTCAGTTTCTTTCCCCAAAAGAAGGTATGTGTAGGCAGTATAATAAATATATATTTGAAGTGTACAACATGATGTTTTGATATGTATATACATTGTGAGATCATTATTGCCGCCAAGCTAATTAACTTATCCATCACCTCTCATAGCTACTTTCTTCTTTAATATAGGCCTTTACAGCACAAATTTCCCTCTGCATACTGCTTCTTACCACATACCATAAGTTTTGGTATTTTGTAGTTTGGGTTTCATTCATCTCAAAGTGTTTTCTAATTTCCTTTGTCATTTCTTCTTTGACCCCTTTGCTTGTTTAAGAATCTGTTTACTTTCCACACACTTGTGAATTTTCCAGTTTTCCATTTATTACCAATTTCCAGCTTCATTCCATCGGGTCAGAGATGGTACTTTCAGCGCCTGTTCTTACAGAGTGAACGTCCTAGTGGGACCAGGCCTGGGTTTTTTTGTTTACCCCAGTCAGCACCCACTTGAGTGCCCTGCACACAACAGGTGACCAAGAATGAGTGAAAACTACCCTTCCTGGATAGCTGTGACTAGTAGAGAGGAGAGCAAATATTGCCTGCTTAACTGCAAGTCAGGCATTGTGCCAAGAGTTTCTGTATTGGATCTAAACTCCAAGTTAGGTCTTGTCCCCATTTTATAGATGAAGAAATTGGCCCAAAAAAGGAGGGAACATGTCCAAAATGTCACAGCCAGCAAAAGGTAATTTTACCTGGCTCCAAAGCCTATGTTCTTTTCACTGATCCTTTAAAAAATGAGATATTGGATATTTGGCACATCTTTATATTATTTTATATATTGTTATTATATAACATTATTTTCAAGGAACTCCAAGGCCCACAGGTGCTGGCAATTTTTTCAGTTAATATTTTCAAGATGACTCATTCCTTAGTTTCCTCATATGTACTGTAAGGCTAATACCTACCTCCCGGGGCAAATGGTGGACTCACGTGTGCAGGCACTAAGTCAACAAATCTCCAGTGCTTACTATGTACCAGGCTCTGGAGAGATAATGGGGGGCGGGGGGTGGGGGTGGGGAGGCAGGAAGCTGTCCTTACTCACTTGGGGAATGTAAAATAAGTACCTAAGACAATTTCAGACAGTGATGAGTGAAGGTGTGGAGTCAAACCTGAAACGCAGGAGATGGGAGAGTATATCCCGGGCAGGAGGACCATCGTGTATGCAGTTGGTGAAGGAGCAACCTCCCTGAGAGACATGAAGGCCAGTGTGGCTGGCATGCAGCGAGCAAGGAGGAGCAGAACGAGGTCAGGGAGGAGGGCAAGGGCCAGATCACGCAACAAGGTTGGGTTTTATTCTCAATGAGACTTAGAGGGTTTTTAACAGGGTGATATCTGATGAATGTTTTGAAAGGATTGCATTGGTCGCTGGTAGAAAAGAGCTGTAGGGGGCAAACGTGGAAGCAAGAAGGCTACTGCTGCTGGCCAGTCCGGTAGCCAGGGGTGGACGCAGTGGCGAGCACACTCCAATTGCGAGGAACAGGATCTGTCACCCAGTGGAGCCTGGGACACAGCGGCCAGCGGCAGTGAAGGTAGCGGCAGCAGTGGGGAAGCAACAGTGACCTCCTTTGCACGTGTTGAGGGGGAGAGAGGTAGATATTGGAGACTGGAGAAGCTTCATAAATGTCCCCAGGAGGAAAACTGTCCAGCTGTGGTCTCAGCCCTTGGCCCAGGATGGGAAATAAGAGGCTAACAGATGTTCCTAGGGGAACAGTGGGTTCCTCCCTTGTCCAGTGTCACAAAGTGCTGAGGAGCCCTCCCCAGGTGCAGAATGCTCAGTCCACATGGGGGACAGCAGGTGCTTTGCAGGGCTGAGCCAACAGCACTGGCAGCTTGGTGTGGGTCCCCACCCTAACCCAACCAGACAAGGACTATCGTCTCCATTTCACACACAAGGAAACACTCAGCAATGTGAAATATCATGTCTTAGGTCACAGTAAGTGACAGAGCTGGGATTCAAACCCCAATTTTTGACAACTGCAGCTGACTTTATTAAGTATTATAGTTACTTAGTTCCTTGCATGCATTAACCCATTTTACAGAGGAGGCCAGTGGAGCACAGGAAAATTGTCTTCCCAAGTTCACTCAGTGAGTGACAAAGGCAGGGAAATGTGAAGTGACACTGGGATGTGTCCAACACTAAAAAGGACACTGGCCCACATTTTGTGGAACATTTAAAACCGCTCTTGTGGCCAGTCCATGGAGTCAAGAGCGGTAGTTCCAGAATAGACTTACCTTCAAAGCCTGGCATAGTGAGTGCTGCAGACAAGGCATGTTCTTTTTAGCTGAGACGAGCTGGCCATGCTCACACCACGTGCTGGCTGAGGGGACTTGGGAACACCTACCTTAGCCAAGGCATGCACGTAGGGTATCATCTCTGATGTAACTCAGAAAGTAAACCCTAATCCTCATCCTGATTCCAATAAAACTTCATTTACCAAAACAGACAGCCAGCCTGTGGGCCATAGTTTGCCAATTTGAATTTTAAACTATTACATTAAAATATTTGTCTTGATTATTGACTTTTTTGGTGCCCCCTGAAATTGGCTCCCCTGGTCCCCACCCAGCTCCACTGACTGCCAGGCCCTGATGGAGAAGCCCATGTTCTGACAAGGGTCAGCCCCTGCTATGGCTTGAAGCTTTCCCCCAAATCTTGTGTTGGAAACTTAATTCCCAACGTGGCAGCATTGGGAGGGAGCGTGGGGGCTCTGCCCTCATGAATGAATGAATGAATAAAGCCATTTGTGGAGTAGTGGGCTAATGGCTTATGGAAGTGGAATGAATTGGTGGCTTTATATGATAAGAGGAAAGAGACCTGAGCGAGCACACTCGCCCCCCCCCCCATGTGTTGCCCTGCACTGCCTCAGGACCAGATGCAGCTCCTTGACCTTGGACTCCGCAGCCTCCATAACTGTAAGAAATAAATTCCTTTTCTTTATAAACTACCCAGTTTCTAGTATTCTGTTATAAGCAACAGAAAACAAACTGCTAATAATACAGCCCCCAACCTTCTCTTTGGGAACTAGGGGTCTCCTCTTGTGTCTAATTCCCGGCAGGGCAATTCCAAAGGACTGTGCTCTCTTTTGCCACCAGAGGTCGCAAGTCACTGCTGTTCCCTGTGCAGACAGGCAAAGAAGCTCCCCTCTCCCTCCTTCCTCTCTTTCTTTCCTCTCTTTCTCCTTTACCTCTTTTCTTCCCAACTCCCTGCCTCCTTTTATTTTCTCCCTCCCTCCCTCCCTCCCTCCCTCCCTCCTTCCCTTCCTTGAACTTGTTTATTTATTCACTCAACACCTTAGCTGCCACCTTGCATGGGGGATGCTGTGCAGCCTCAAGTGTCATCACTAATTACAATGTAACAAGTAAGACAGGCACGAGGATGTCTAGTTCCTTCTTGTCTTCGTGTTTTTATCTGTTCTGTCGCTTCTTCATGTATCCCTTCCCTGGGTATCTAGTGAGCACCTTGGCCGTGTCTGGCTCTGTGCTGGTTCCTAAAGGAGCTACAGTGATGAAGTCCAGCCACCGTCCTGGAGCCTCCTGTCCTCTACTGGCTCTGCTCTCCCTGCTGCTGCCCAGCCCCCCTCTGTCCTTCCTCACTTGGCAGTCAGGGGACCCTTCTGAAGCCAGATTGTGCTACTTCCCTGTTCAGAAGTTTGGCGGCTTCTCATCCTGTGTCTCCTTGCTTACCAGCTGCATGGCCTGGGACCCCTCACTGCCTCACCTCTCAGAGCCTCAGTGTGCTCATCTGCAAAACGGACTAACAATGGTGCCACCTTGCGGAGTTGCTGTGAGCACGGGTGCTGCTCAGGATCCCCAGGAAGCAGGGTCCGAGACGCAGTTCAGCGCGTAGCCCTTGGGATCAGCACCCGCAGCAGGCAGGGAAGCAGGAGAGGGCAGAGAAGAAGCAGGGCTGCAGGCAGAACCCACGACGGCTGCAGCCGCCCCCGTGGGAGCTCTGAAGCCAGAATGGCCCTTCAGAGATGTCCCAGGATGGGCTGAGATGGCCAGGGCTTCGCAACTGCACACTGCACAGTCCTCGGTGGGCCAGCCCTGCCAGGGGCATGATCTTGGGCAAGGCCACCCTCTACCCACCATGAGTCGACCCCTGAAGGGGCTGACCACTCTCCCTGCCTCTGGGACCATCAGTCCTTCCAAGAAGGGATCTGGGTTGCACAGTGTCCTCCACAAGCATCAGTGCACACGGAGCACTAGCACAGTGGCTGGCACATTGTAACAATGAGCAATGATTGCTATTATCACGATACCATTTGTATTGCTATTATTTTTAGAGAACAGGTGACTATAACATAGCACCATTCGTTCCCCGTATAAGCTGAGGGTAGACGAGGTGCATGTTCCCATATTGCCAGGCCCCGACTTCCGTGCTTCTGAATCAGAAGTTCTGAGACTGGGCTGGATTTGCATTTCTAACAAGTTCCCAGGTGACACTGAGGCTGCTGTTCTGAGAATACCTGCTCTG